ATGAACTGTGGAGCCATAGCAGTGCAGACAGGTGATCATTATGAAACAAGACTACATGATGAAAGTTGAGCTTTTGAATATTTTCTTCAATTAGAAGTCCAGGTTAAATTTCACATGGCTATCTGCACCCAGCTTTCACAATGTCTTATCATAAAACATATTTTGTGCTGATGGTGAATTCCAAATAGAGTTGCACAAATAAATACTGAATCCATGTCCAGACCAAAACCAGACCAAGTCCTAAAGCCAAACTGCTTTACACGAAACAAATTCTGAAAATAATCACTATTGCTTTCTTACTTAGTGGCTGACCCTAAGGAAAACAATATTGATTTATAATGAAAAGCCTAGGAGGATAAAAACAAAACCCAACACATGTATGTGCTTCTTTTTACTCCACTCCACCAAAACTCTGAAGTGGCCAAATAACCTACAACTGTCCTCGCCCCGAAAAGCAGTCTTTGTCCACAGCTGCCCGGGACCTCCGCTCGCCTTCCCCATCGTGCAGGATTCAGGTGGCTGAATGCCTGACCCATCCTGGCTTAGAACATGGTTTCCCAAACCACAAGTCTCTAGATTTCCCTGTGGAACAGGACTCCTTCCATGACAATTTTTGGAGCACTGTCTCTGGGCGGTTATACAGAGCGACTTACGAGTGGAACAAGAAGTTGTCGCTGGAGGAAGGGTTCGGGCAGCGTCCAGGGGAAGCATGCTGCGAGGGCGGCCCGCGTTTGCCGCAGAGCACCAGATGCTTTGTCTGCACCCACCGCCTTTACAATCGGGGCTTGTCTGCAAGGAGCCCTCAAATCTCTCAAGAATGAAGACTTTGGTGCTATTCAGCTAATCCTCAAGAGGGAACTTTCAAGATAGTGGTGCTTAAAAGCAGAAAAAAAGTCAGACACAAAACAATGCCTACATAGATCCATCCGTGTTTAATAGAAGAGAAACGTACACACATACTTCCATATGCACCAAACATTTGTAAAATCTGGGAGTCAACTGGCAGAGGCCAGCCATTCTTCCTCTCCGAGGGAGGCTTTTACCCTTACAGACACGCCTGTATTTTTCTTTAAATCATAGACATGCATTGCTTTTATGTATTTTTAAAATTTGTATTGTTTATAAAGGTGATACAAGATGGTGGGAAAAGGACCTTCTGCCCTTGTCTCCGAAAAGTCCATAGAACTAAAAGGAAAAGAACAGAAACACAAACTTCAGAATCCACGCCGAGTCAGCAACCTCCCACCCACCACGTGAAGCTGAACACGGGCGGGAGTAGTGACGTGGCAGAGTGGGTCAGACACCACCATTCAGAGCCTGGGGAGTGTCCAGAGAAGAGGACGCAGGGAAGGGCAGGGACAGGCTGAAGGGGGAGGATTTCACAGCTGGGCTCTTGGGTCCCTGGGAACCCTCCACACACCCCAATAGGTTGAGGAGTCTTGTTGAGAGACACTGAGCCATTCTAGAGGAAAGTAGTTGGGTCAAGGAAACAGCCACAGGACACCCTCTGGTGGCCACCCTGAGTGGAGCCCAGCTGGCGGTGACCTTGCTCTGCACCTGGAGCTTCGCTTGGGGAATGTCAGTGTGAGCCCACATCTGAGAGCCTCCAATGTAAAGGGACATGGAGGAGACGGGGAGGTAAGGAGAAAGCTTTGCTCCACATTTACTTCTGCAGGGAGAGGAGGGAAGCCCCTACATCTGTGAAGCAAGAACGGGATGCTATAACCAACAGAGAGATTGAGAAATTAAAAATGCAATTTGCCAAAATAAAAGTGAGTGAAAGGGTTGTAAGATAACATCCAGGAAATCTCCCAGAAGGTAGGAAAAGAGAGAAAGTATAAGAAAATGACAAGATCAATCCAGGAAGCTTAACACATGACTAAGACGGACTTCCTTCCAGTAAAAGATAAGAGAGAATGGTAGAGAAATTATCAAATAAATCATTACCAGACCCAAGACCACCAAGTTCCCCACACAATGATTTTTTTTAACTTGACCTCAGCTTTATTATATATATATGTGTGTGTGTATATATATATATATATATATATATATATATATATATATATATAATATTTGTTTAAAACTATATATTTCCTTATTTTTTACTGAGATGAAATTCACATACCTTACCCATTTTAAAGTATACCTTCAGAGGTATGTAGTACATTTAGTGTTGTGCAACTATCACTTCTATCTCATTTCAAAACATTTCCATCACTCCAAAAGGAAATCCCGTACCCATTAAGCAGTCTCCCCCACGTGTGCCTCTCCTGACCTCCTGGCAAACACCAATCTGCTCTGATGGGTAAACAGCTTTACCCATTCTAGATGCCGTGTGTAAATGAAACCACACAGTACGCAGCCTGCTGTGCATGGCTTCTTTTACTTAGCGTAATGTTTTGGAGATTCACCCGTGTTGTAATATGTGTCAGCACTTCGTTCCTTTTTGTGGCTGAAATATATTCCAGTGTATGGATACACCGCATTCAGTTTATCCATTTATCAGTTGAAAAACACTGGGTTGTCTCCACCTTTTGGCTATGAATTCTCCTGTGAACATTCCTATATTTGGGTACTTGTTTTCAATAGTTTGGAGTATATAACTAGGCATGGAGTGGCGACACCATTTTATATTACCACCAGCATGCACCAAGTTTCCAGTTTCTCCACATCTTTGTCAATGCTTGTTCTTTTCCATATCTTCTTCAGAGAAACGTCTCTCTAAAAATCAATAAACACATCCTCAGGTGAGGATTTTTTTTTTTTTTAAGGGCAAAGGACCTGAATAGACACTTCTCCAAAAAGGACATACACATGGCCTATAGACATATAAAAAGATGCTCAATGTCCTAATCATCAGAGAAATGCAAATTAAAATCACTTCACACCTATCAGAATGGCTATTATCAATAAATCAAAATAAATCAATAAACAAGTGTTGGCGAGGATGTGGAGAAAAGGGAACCCTAGTGCACTGCTGGTGGGAATGCAGATTGGTGCAGTCACTGTGAAAAATAGTATGGAGTTTCCTCAAAAAATTAAAAATGGAAGTGCTTTATGACCCAGTAATTACAATTCCAGGAATATATCCAAAGAAACCCAAAACTCTAATTTGAAGGAGTATATGCACCCATGTGTTCATTGCAGCATTATTTACAACTAGAGGCCCGGTGCATGAAAATTCATGCACTGGAGGGGGGTTCCTCAGCCTGGCCTGCCCCCTCTCACAGTCCAGGAGCCCTCAGGGGTGGGAGGTGACCTGGCGATCAGGGGAAGGCGACGCCCCATCACACCTCTGCTGCTGCCACTGCCGGCAGCACAAGCCTTGGGCGGCCCTGGTTACCTGAGCCTAGGGCGGCCCTGGGCGGCTGGGCAGCCACCATTCGAGGCATGCCTGTGCCTCGGGCCAGCCCTGGTGGCTGGGGGGCTGAGGGGACTGGGCGCCACCATCTTTGCGACGGCATGAAGGTCAATTAGCATATTCCCTCTTTATTAGATAGGATAGCCAAGATTTAGAAGCAGCCCAAGTGCCCATCAGTAGGTGAGTGAGTAAAAAAGCTGTGGTACATTTACACAATGGAATTATACTCAGCCATAAGGAGGAGGAAATCGTTCCCTTTGTGACAGCATGGATGGACCTGGAGAACATTATGCTAAGTGAAATAAGCCAGTCAGAGAAAGACAAGTACCATGTGATTTCACTCATATGCAGAATCTAATGAACAAAATAAACTAACAAGTTGATTCTGTCAATTTTGCCAGCTTATTGGTTGTTTCATTGGAGGGCCTGATTCTTGGAGCACCACCACTGCCATTTTCCATGATGTCACTATATATTTTTTTAACTTTTAATTTTGACATTATTATAGATCCACAGGAAGTTGCAAAGATGGTACAGGAATGCCCCGTGTACCTTTCACCCACTTTCCCCTAATAACATCTTATATAATTATAATATCAAAACCAGGAATTCAACACATACAACACAGTGAATTTTAAAAGATCACTTCAAGCCAGGCTTAGCCGTATGAAATTTCCCAGATCAGAGATAAAAAGATCCTAAAAGCTTTGAGAGAGAAGAAAGCCCCAGGCGGAGACCAAGAACCAGAGTGCAAAACAATGGAGCAATGCCTCCACACTTCCGAGTGAAAGCATTTTTTATCTAGCATCGTAAATGAAGCGTGAGAACAGAAGAGGCATTTTCAGATGTGCTCAGTCCTGGGCCAGTGATGGCGAACCTATGACACGCGTGTCAGAGGTGACACGTGAACTCATTTTTTTGGTTGATTTTTCTTTGTTAAATGGCATTTAAATATATAAAATAAACATCAAAAATATAAGTCCTTGTTTTACTATGGCTGCAAATATCAAAAAATTTCTATATGTGACACGGCACCAGAGTTAAGTTAGGGTTTTTCAAAATGCTGACACGCCGAGCTCAAAAGGTTCGCCATCACTGGCCTAGGCGCTACCACAAGAGTCCTTTCCAGTCGGGAGCCGGGAAGAGAAGAGGCAGGGAACCCAGGAGACAAGGCTCCAGGACAGCAGGCGGGCCTACGAAGTGCCCGGAGTGAAGACAGCCTGCGGCTGCTGGGCCACAGGAGAGCGAGCGAGGCCAGGCTCCCAGGAAGGGCAGCGCCAGGGAAGCGGGAGAGGATTCCCTGTGGGAGACAATGTCGCGGGGCATTGCAGCGAGGGGTGAAGAGTATACGAGGACTCAGCCAGACTTCTAAGAAATAAATAGATGAAGAGAATAAGATTAGTATTACCTTCAAGGGAAAAACTTCTATCAGAAAACATAATTCTGGTATTTACGTCTGGCTTGTTAAAAAATAATAGTAGTATATTTTCAAAACGTTGGAATTTCTGAATGTGCTTTTAACCACACATTACAATACAGCTGTACTGGGGAAGTGGGGGAGGGAGAGAAGCTGTAAGGGATAAACTAATAACCCACCACCACGGGAAGTCAACAGACCACATCTAAAATTACTGAATCAAGAAAAAAGCAGAATATGCCTATTTATTTAGAAATCTAGCAGTAAATGGCAGAAACAGCCAAGAGTTCAGAGTCCCCTTAGAAGGGGCAAACCTTGCAGTGCAGAAGGGGTAAGAGTGTTTGTTTTTGACATAAAAACTCTATTTTGCCTTAAGCTTTATGCATAAAATAGTCTAATAAAATAAAAATGAGCAATTTCATGTTGGATTGGAAGTACTATTATCAAACAAAAAGCAATACCTAATAAAACAGTGAAACACAGGTTCTACCCGTCCTTTATGGAGGAGGCCTTCTCTAAAGGTTTTGTAATTTGAAAGATATTGAAAGAGATTGTACATTTTACTTTTGAAAACGAGAAAATGAAAACTCCCAATTTGGGAAGTGCCGTCAAGCTAACAGGATAGCAGTGGTTCTCCATGAGGACAGGTCTGCATGGGGAGAAGGGACCCTGGCCTTCGGCACTTGGGGTCGCTGGTCCCAGATGGCAGGACAGACGAGGTGCAGGCCCAGGACAGAGCTTTGCTCTCCTGACCAATTCTGCCTCTGACTGGAGAGCTCATGGTCCTGTCAACCACACGTCACTGTTCACTGTTGGAGGGGGGAGGGACGCCCCTGCTCTAGCGTGTACAGATTCGCGCAGTGATGAGGGGAAGAGAGGGGCCCATGGCAACACCATCTGAAACGGCAGATGGTAACCAGCTATGTGTGAAGGGACTGGTGGTGAAGACTGTTATTTAAGAGGCAGGGGAGGGAAACGGGCAGTGATCTGAAAAGAGAAAAGCTATTTAGTGCTTTCCCAAGAACTGGCAAGAAAGAGCCCGGAGCTGTTGCTAAGGAGAAAATAGACAAAGGCACAAGAACAATCTGACTAAACGCTGGCATGGGGGCGGCTGGGCTGTGGGCAGGGCTGGCTCCCAGGACCCTGCTCGGCAATCAGGATGACGAAGTGGCAGCTTCGTGGCCCCTGTCCTCCTCCTGTGAGAGGTCTTCTTCCTCTGGGTCTCACTCTGCAACAGAGGAGCTCCTTCTGCACCTCGGCCGAGCTTCCTGTCCTGGGGTCACCACGGAGGAGCCTGGCGGAGGCTGTGAGCAGGCAGGAGGCGGATTCCAGCAGATTCCACACCTCTCCCAGACTGGGACCTTGAATCTATTCAGGGCTCGCTTCTTTCTTCCTTTCTTTATTTCCTCTTTGATTTTTTGGGCATCTGATTAAAGATTGAGGCAGTTTAGCTCCAGTGTATGAGGAAATTGAATGTGGCAGAGTCCACAACTCAAACTGACACCATCCCACACACCACACTGCCCACACACACCGTGCTCACCCAGTGGTCACCTTAGCGGTGCATCCATGGAAGGAAAGAGGATCAGCTGCAGACCATGACCTTGGGTTCAAGGTAAAGGCGTATGGCAAACCTCAACCTCAGCGACTTAAGAAAAATCACAAGAAGTTCTTAAAGAAGCCTGAACCCCGCGGCTGTCGTTTGCTGACTGAGGCACCAAATGTATACCCAGGTGCTGCAGACAGTCCGCAGACAGACCGACCACGGGCAGCGGGTCCCAGAGCAGCACAGCGGAGAGAGTCAACAGGGTGAGGAGTTTCAAGGCAGGAGTGTAAGGATCCCACAAACAGAAGGCAGCAGGAAACTCTGACTTTCTTATGAGATATGAAGATCACTGCTGACCATTAAGTGTCAAATCCATGTTGACAATCCAGCCACTGCTGGCCTAGGGAACCAAGGGGTGTTTGGGTAGCTCAAGGAGATGCTTTTGCCACTAAAAGGAAACGGCCAGCGGCAGGTGCATGGCCGGGGGCTGGCTTGCAGGGAGTGAGAAGGTGGGTCCACTTTCTCCTCTCAGCGCTGGCGCCAGGGCACAGAGTAGTCTTTGTAAGAATATGTGCAAATATTCAAATCCCACTCCAAATGAAACAATCCTCCCGTTACCTGGCCTTTCACACTGTCTGGGCCTACTAATGAAAGCTCTGTACTCTGCACAGGCTGTAGGACAGTGGTCGGCCAACTGCGGCTCGCGAGCCACATGCGGCTCTTTGGCCCCTTGAGTGTGGCTCTTCCACAAAATACCGACTTCTGCGCATGGGCCGTGAAGTTTCAATCGCACTGTACATGCGCGCCCACACGTGGCATTTTGTGGAAGAGCCACACTCAAGGGGCCAAAGAGCTGCATGTGGCTCGCGAGCCGCAGTTTGCTGACCACTGCCATAGGAGATGTAAGCCAGTACTTCATTAGAGACAAGATGACAAATGCTCAGGTTTCCCTTGAAAACAAATCCTGCCATGAAACAAGGAGATGGATGAGGACGAGGACGGACCTAGTGATGTTTTCTCACTGCAAAAGACACTGACTCGCATGCAGCTCCAGCTCATCAACCGCTTCCGCACTGCACACCATGCACGTGGTTAGCAAGCAGCTAGTCTCAACCAGGTTAACGAACATGTAGTTACCACCGTTCATCATGAGGCGCAGGTGCAGGCCCCGTTAGCTCACAGCGCTTTCAGGATTTTCAATTATCCACTCAATAGCAGCCCACCCCTGGAGCAACACAGAAGGGTTTCAACATGGTGTAAGCTCTGCCTCCTGCAGCGGCAGCTGCAAGCCTGTGATTGAAACGGCAGTTTTAAAGATACAACAGTCACCATTTGCGAGCAATCTTTCCCTGTAAGCAGGCAGTGTCTCAAATTCGAAATTAGGGGGTATGCACTCTGCCTAAAATTCCTGCACCAGGTTGGCTATACTGACACTGGCTCCCCTCATCCGCACCGCCGCCTCCTGAGAGCAGGGCGAGGGGAAAGGGCAGCCACCCTCCTGGCCTCCATGCGTTGTCCCAAAGCTCTGGCTCCCGAATCCCAGATGACCTGCTGCCCCATCTCCCATCTCCTGTGCCCACCCTCGGCCTACCAGCTCTCCCAGGCATCTCCCCGCTGACCAGTGATTCTGTCAAATCATAACTATAGCTAGAGGGAGGGCTGATTCTCTACTAGGCCTTCAACACAATAACCCCTAAGATAAGTGAAAGAATTGTATTTGGCTGCACTGAGTTTACCCTGATTTTTCTCATAAAAGGTCTGAGGTGGCTTTGGCCTCACCCAGTATTGACTTCCTCCTTGTTTTTTCACAAACCGGAGGGTGCCTGCCCTAAGCCAGACCCTGGACACACGGGTCAGTAAGGCTGTCCTCCCCTCCCCAAGGGCTCACACTGGGGACACAATGCTCGCAGCTTGAGGCACTGTGGTTCCACCCTCCCTGAACCGAGCTAAGCGACTGCATACATTTCTCAGATCTGGATTTTTCTAAACAGTGGGGCAGATTGGCTCTTCTAGACTAAATGTGAGCAAAAATAGTTTTCCGCTAGGATCTGACTTAAGCATGGTAGGAAGGGAAGTACGGCTTAGGCAGCAGCTGATGACCAACATGAGGCATCACTTCTGACTGAGACAAATGGAGAGAAGGGGAGGGTGGCCAGGGTGGGAGCAAAGGGAGGAGGACACCTGGGGAAGGTGGGAGCCTATGAAGTAAGCTAAGGTGAAAAGCCAGGCCCTGCCCTGGTGAGTGGCAGACATTACCTTGAATTTGCACACATCCCAGCTCTCTCTTCTGCTGCAGAGGAAGGCAACCTGGACTCCGGGATAGTCCCTGAGGCTGAGCCCTCCACCCAGGGACCCGGGCAGGATGGCTTCCCGGGTGCATCCTTTCTCCTCTCACCTCCACCAAGCTCACTCCCCAGTCCTGCCAGGGAATGCCAGCTGCCTCCAGGGAAAGCTTGCAAATGGAGAGGTGGGGGCAAAGCTACATAATGCCTATGAAATAGGAAACCGGGGAAAATCCCGCATGCCAATGTGTGGGGTTGTTTAATAACTGAGCCTGTTATTTCTGCTCTTCGCCTCGGCTGGCTTGACCCTGCACTTTTCCCTCGGATGGGCACGCCTCCCTTGCTGCCAGTTTTGAAGGTAAATGTGGAACATGATGCAGCAGTACAAGCTAAACTAGACAGCGGGCCCCGCACGCATGGACGACAGGACCTCGCATTTCACCCGCTTCCCCTGGGCCTCACAGCCAGAGCGCACACGGGGCCGGCCGGGCGGAGAGCCGTACCTTCTTTGCGTTGGATGATATTGTGTTGGCCATTAAGCCTTCCAGGTAGCTGCCAAGGCTGATCCCCTTCACGGTGATGATGGCTTCCTGCGTGAGCACTGTCCTGCAGAGGAGCAAGAAGCACAAGGCTGAGCGGCCCTCCGAGAGGGGAGGCTCCGCCCGCCCTGACCCTGGAGTCGAACGTGTGGAAGCCGGGCGAGGCCACGTACATGTCAGGGTTCTTCGGATGGGGTGTGTACACCAACCTCTCGTTCACCGACACGAAGTTTGTGAGTGTGATCTTAAAAAAAGGAACAATGGCTTTAGGTTCTACGTCTCTTCCGTTTCTTCCCAAACCATCCACCCGTCCCCCAAACAGCACCTACTGGAGCCAGAACAGGAGAAACATTTTGGCCCAGAAGGCACCACCGTATTAAGTCCCAGGGAAACCGGGTCCTGGCTGCTTCACCGGCCTCTCTCCACCCAAACCTGAGCTGGGCCTGGCCTTCCAGGGACAGCAGCCCCCACTTTTTGAAAGTTTGCATACGCGACTTTGCTTTTAGGAAAGACCTACATCAGTCCCTGTTTTTGCTAACTGGTAGAAATTTGAAGAGGATCTTTGCTTTTATGAAAAAAGGTGACAAGCAAAAACAGCGTTCAGGAGCCACGCTCAGCACCTCAGCAACAAGCCCGGGCCGGAGCTGCAAACTGTCTGTGAGCACCTGCGCTTTATCTCCATTTATTTTGTGCATCGTTACCAAGATGTGTCCTAACGAAACTGCTCCTTCACGTTACACCATTTCGGCTTACCTAAGGTTTTACAGGAACACTCTACTTTTGGGATAGTGAGGGAACCTGTATTTTCAAACTTCCAAGACCTCAGCCAAAAAATGACAAAATATTCCTGGGCTAGCATGCAGGTAAATGAGAAGAGGCTTCTCGCCCACCAGGGGCAGGCTCTGGCTTTGGGACACTGTGTCCTGGGGTTTCGCAGGGCAGCGCCCTGAGTCTGCACAGACTGTGAGAGCAAAGTATATAGATATCTCCTCAGGGCTGTGTCCAGTAAACCAACTAGCCACCCCCCCATGTACATTTTAAATATTTTCTATTAAAAACTATTTGAAAACTGGAGCTCTAGAACAGCACGGTCTCACAGAATTTTCTGTAATATTAGCGATGTCCTGCCAACCGGCGTGGCTCAGTGGTTGAGTGTCCACCTATGAACCAGGAGGTCACAGTTCAATTCCTGATCAGGCACATGCCTGAGTTTTGGGCTCGATCCCCAGTAGGGGCTGTGCAGGAGGCAGCCGATCAGTGATTCTCTCTCATCATTTATGTTTCTATCTCCCTCTCCCTCTCCCTCCCTCTCTGAAATCAATATATATATATGAAATGTTCTATCTCTGAGCTGTTCATTGTCGAAGTCACTAAACATGTGTGGCCAGTGACCACTTGGTTAGTGTGCAGGGGAACTGAATTGTTAATTTTACTTAATCCTAATGAATTGAAATGGAAATAGCCACATGTGGCTGACAATGGAGTTTCATCTTTGTTTAACTCAATTTACTCTCTTAGCAAAGAGCCAATTCCAATATAAGAGCTTTTTTTTAAAAAAAAGGTCAAGTGGTCAAAGGCAATGTAATCTTCCAGCAAAGATAAACTTGAAGCACTTATACTTTCTCATGTAATCATCTTTCACTGAGCTCCCAGCCTGGCCCCAGTGTTCCGGCAAAGTGGTTAGCAGGGAAATCTCTTTCCTCCTATTGTGTACAGGGTAGTCACAAGCTCATTAGTTACAGTGAATACAGTGTATGGAAATATTTATCAACATTAACAATTAAACTCCGATTAGCTATTATCTTTTTATGTGCAATATGTTTATGCCTGCTGTGTTTTATAAACCTATTTCCCTTCATTAATCCTCGTAACAATACTATGAGATTTGTTCTTTTTTTCTTTTTAAGACAAGGAATGTGGGAGCCAGAAAAGGTTAGTAAGGAACACATGCAGTCATACAACCATTCCATGATAATTTCAGGATACGGTTCACAACTACGCCATACCCTATGTCCTTTCCACTGGGCCTCACAGTAGCATGAACCGTCCTTCTTTACTGAAAACTAAACTTTCGCGAAGGATGGAGTGGAATTTTCCAAGTAGAGGAGAGAAAACAGAATATGTAACTTTTCAGCTTTGGCCGATGAGGGGACACACCTGCGAGGCTGCCTGTGACTTTCACAGCAGTGCTGCCCGGGACGAGGGAAAGGTCAGAGATGCTATGCCAAACGCTGTAAGTGGCTCAGAACCTAACCTTCCACACGCAGAGACACAACCCACAGTGAGAGTTCATAAAGTAAACCGTGTTCCCAGCCGATGCACTCTCCCCAACATGTTTTTGAATATGCATTGAGCCAATGTACATTTTTCTAATTGAGAGGAGTGAGAGGGAGTGAAGGAGGAAAGTTGCTTTTAAAATTTCTGCTAAATCCAAACAAAAATGAAATTACTGCTAAAAATCACCCTTTCTAGCCCTAACCGGTTTGGCTCAGTGGATAGATCGTCGGCCTGTGGACTGAAGGGTCTCAAGTTCGATTCCGGTCAAGGGCATGTACCTTGGTTGCAGGCACATCCCCAGTGGGTGGTGTGCAGGAGGCAGCTGATCGATGTTTCTCTCTCATCAATGTTTCTGACTCTCTATCCCTCTTCCTTCCTCTCTGTAAAAAATCAATAAAATATTTTTTAAAAAAAACACCCTTTCTAATGGGAGTCAGGATAGAGGTTATTGGGGGTGGGGTGGTGATTCTGGAAAGGAGCAAGGGCGGGGGTGGGGCAGTCACTTTCTGCTTCTCTGTCCGCTGGTTATATAGGTGTGTTCACTTTGTGACAGTTCATCATTATGTGCATTTTTCTAGACACTTATTGTCCTGGAATAAAAAGGTAATAACATACTACTAAATAAGTTCACCTATTAAAAACTAAGCGATCACTCAGACCAAAGGTGGGCTGAACATCAAGTTAAGTGAAGCCATTCGCACCATCACCAAGACATACCAAGCACCTTTCTCATCCTAGGGCCATTGCTTACATTGGTGGAACAAAGTTCCATTTTCTTTTCCACTGGATCCACAACAGAATGTTCTCTGATGTATGTTAAAGTCCTACTGGTTCCCAAAATCTAAAAAACAAAGCAAAACTAGCGTAATGGTATGTTACACTGTCATTCTGAAGCATCAAACACAAAACACCATTTCATTTACTCATTTGTACACGGGTGGGGGTGCGCCATGAACCTGTGCGGTAACTTCAGGTTTCTGTTCTAGCAGGTGGGAGAGACACTGGACAAAATGAATTCAAGTAGACTTGAGTGTATGACAGTAATGAATGCTTTGATGAAACAGAAAATGGGGGTGGGGGACAGGAGTGCAGAGAAGGCCCCTCTGCCAGTGGCAGAGCCTGGGAGGGAAGAAGGGTGCCATGCAGAGTTCTGGGTGGGCAAGAGTCAACCATGTGAGGAGGTGGTGGGCGGGCAGATGTCTTTGAGCCAAGGAGAAGCTAGAACAGACCCATCCCTCACGGTCCTCAGAGGAAACTACCCTGCCAGCTCCTTGCTCTTGGACTTCCAGCCTGTGGTTTAAGCCCACAAATCTGTGGTGTTTCATTTTGGCAGCCCAACAGATGCGACACCGTGGAGCGAGGCGCGAGGGGATTCTGTGCTGGCGGGGCTGAGGGCGGAGCCATGCCACGAGTCAGGGGGTGTGTCAGGACCATGGAGACGGACCGTTTCATGACGCTGGCAGAGGAACAAACCATCTCTTGGGCTTCCTAGAAATCCCGAGTGGGCGCTCTAAGGGGAGGTAGTCATTTCCTGCAGTTGGTGCCAGCTGGGGGCAGAGCGGGTGTAGGCAGGGTGATGCAGGGGTAGTGGGAGCAAAGCCGGCACCAGCTGGGTGGTGCAGGTGTAGCAGGCAGGGCAGGTACCAGCGGGGACAAGCAGCTGTGGGCTCACCGCTTTCACGAGGGCGGGCAGCCCCCACTCGGTGCTGAGGAGGCGGTGGCTGTGCAGCCGGCCGCAGCGGTCCACACTGCGCTCCAGCACATCGACTCCCACCACGCAGGGATTCATCGGATTCGGGTACTTCCTCATAGCAGCCTTGATGACCGTGTCCCATGGGTGGCTGGAGGGAAAATGCAATCACTTGGCATAAGCAAGCAAACCTTTTGTAGCGTGTGCCAGAGTGGCGCTGGGAGCCAGAGATGCTGTGTGCCACAGTGTGAAATGAATAAAGTTTTTTCCTTTGGTTTTAATTAAAGGCATAGCCAACAAATATATATCAGGAGTCCAGCTCCGACCTACATCCTGGATCCTGGGATCGTGCTGAGCCGACCAGAGGCAATCAAGAAGGCTTTGCCACCAGGCTGCGCCAGGAACCTGGGGCACGAACAAGAACCCAGGTCCCTGGCAGCTGCGCTCATGCCCATCTCATCTGGTCTGCATTCCCGGTCCAGAAGCTCACACAGGCCTCCTCACCACTGGGGCCGTGGCTCAGCACTTTTCCTGTTCCCGACTTCCTCCTCCCTCTCCCACCCTCCCTCCAGTCCTTAAAGAGATAAAAGCTTTAGTTTAGGGCTTCTGAGCAGGGAGACAATTCTCCCCACCCCTAGCTGTCACCTGCCCTCCCCTGCTGTTCCATCAGGTGAGGAAAGAAACTGGAGGGAGCGGGCACCATTTCGGACTCTTGCCTGCACTGCTGCAGTGACTAAAGGCTTGGCTCATGGTGGCCATGGTGGAGTGGGAACCCATCCCCAGGGCGTGAGGCCTCTGCCCCACTGCAGGGCGGCTAACCCGAGGGCAGTGGGAGGCCTCATTCCCTGCCCACACTGGGAAGTGGGAAGGCATAACCAAGGCCCTGCTCTATGCACAGCGAGGGTGTAGAGCAGCGGTTCTCAACCTGTGGGTCGCGACCCCTTTGGGGGTCGCCTAAGACCATCGGAAAACACATATATAATTACGTATTGTTTTTGTGATTAATCACTATGCTTTAATTATGTTCAATTTGTAACAATGAAATTGGGGGTCACCACTACATGAGGAACTGTATTAAAGGGTCGCGGCATTAGGAAGGTTGAGAACCACTGGTGTAGAGACAAGGGGTGGGATTAAATTATAGGACGTCTGGGATTTGTCTATAGTAATTGGAGGGAAGAACAGTAGGTGGGGACACGTGAAACCAGACTGGCTGCGAGAGGGGAACTGTCGACCTGGAAGATGGCACTGGGCCTCGCCATTCTAGTCTTCCCTTTCGCATACTTTTGAAATTTCCCTAACAGCAAGTTTTTAAAAAAGGATGAGGGCAGCCACAAACAAGGCAAAGTCACCTGCACCCCCCACTTGAAGCAAGTCTAGGCCCACATCTGAGCGCGGTGCACACCCAGAGGCTCCCATACTCCTTCAGGAGGTCTGCGAGGTCAAAACTGCTTCATGATGCTACTAAGACATGATTTGCCTTTTTCACTCAACTGACATTTACGCTTCAAAAGCTTCAAAAGCATCGGCGGGCGGGTAAGACTGCTGGCCTCTCCCCACGAATTAAAGCCAGGACCTCAAACCACACTCACTGCTCTGCACTCGGGGAAACCACGCCATCTTTCTTAAGATTATCCACGATGAAAGAGTAAAATTATATTTGATTACATCTAAACCCCTGAGTACTTTTCTTTTAATATTCTGACCACAAGAAAGCTAAGACCCATACTGGGATTGGATACCCCACTATGCTTGGCCCTAAACCTAAACAACTTATATAACAAAATTATTCCCCGGAGTACAAAATTATTCCTAGTAGTACTCAGAGGACTTCACGGTGTTTTATATCCCTCTAGAGCAGCGGTTCTCAACCTTCCTAATGCCGCGACCCTTTAATACGCATGAGGGTGGACCCGCCTGGAGACGGATAGAGGAGGGGTGTCTCGGATCCTAAGACCATCGAAAATATGTGTTTTCCGATGGTCTTAGGCGACCCCTGTCAAAGGGTCGTTCGACCCCCAAAGGGGTGGCGACCCACAGGTTGAGAACCGCTGCTCTAGAGTCTAGAGGAGCCTGTTCTATAATTGATAAGCCCCGATAAACCTCACCAACCCTTGCCAATTTAGCCCAGATGCCACCGTCTTCAGCAAACACTAAGAAGGAATTACAGTAAGCACAAATATAAGACATAAAAACGTTGGGTCGTGGGAAGAACGGCCGGGGCAGTGCTGGGCAGCTGTGGGTGGTGGGCCCCGCTGGCTGCTTCCTTCCATGCTCCTCCTTTCTACTAACTGGTTATCTGGCAGACATTTTCTCAAAAATCAATGAAATGGGCCCATCACCTCCAGGAAAACAACTGATAGTATTTGTTGCCAAAGATAAAACTTGAGTTTTGAGTGAAAATTTCAAAAACTTGTATCCACTCCCATGAGGCCCCATATTGTAACCGGGTAAACCCATATACTCCCAATGACCAGTGCCGGATGCCACAAAATCATACAACGGTGAGAGACTCATTTAAAATTTTGGACAGGCCAATTACTCTGGTCATTCTGGTTTCAGATTTTACACTTGTTTTGTTGTAGTAGCAAAAAATAGCCACAATTACTTTAAAAGACTATTAAAATACTCCTACCTTTTCCAGTGTTTTATTCACACACTATGTGAGGCTGGATTTTATTCATATACTTCAAACAAAACAAGACTGTAAACACTGAATGCAGAAGCAAGATATGAATATCAAGCCGCCTTTTATTAAGTCAGACACTATAGAAATTAGCATAAAAATAATATCACTTTTCTTACTAATTTGGGGGGTATTTTGGAAAATAGAGGGTTGCAAAATAAAAAATGTTATGTTCATGTAATAGTTTTATGGTTCATTGTAATTCATTAACAAATATCATTTGTCAGTTTTAATTTCTAATACGGTAAATACAGATATCTATAATCCACATAAACAAAAACTGTCTGGGTCTCCCAATATTTTCTTAGATAATAAAGAAGTCCTGAGGCTGAGGGGTTTAAGACTAGCTAGATCCTTGATTAAGTGAACCAAAAAGATATACACAGCTGGTCACTGCAGTATGATGTGTAGTAAGGGGGGAGATGATGTTCTTTCAATAAGAGAAAGAATAAGATCAACCGAAGGACTTGTATGCATGCATATAAGCCAAACCAATGGACATGGACAACAGGGGGATGAGAACATGAGTGTGTGTGTGTGTGTGGGGGGGGTTAATGGGGGGGGTAAGGAAACATTTGTAATACCTTAATAAAGAATTTTAAAAAAATAATAAGAGAAAGAATAAATTGCAACACATTCATACAATGGAACATTATATAGCTATGATACATATACGTGTGTGTATACACAACACACACAGATCTCAAAACCATACTGTTGAGAGGAAAGGAAATTATTAAAAGATCTGTACATCTGACGTCACTGATTTCTATTTTAAAACAATAAACACGTGCCCACACAGATGTAGTGAAATGGGATACCCACCAAATTCATAATTTTGTCTGCCTGTGGAGGGGGGGGGTACCACACTGGGGGGGTGGGGGCGTGCTTCAACTCTTAACTGTAATGTTCAATTTCTTATTAAAGAAAAAAAAAGGTGGGGGAGGGGTATTCTTTTACGGCTCCTGGCTAGAAAGCAAGTTTGCTTTCGGACATCATGTCCTCCAGAGCCCATAACTCCCTGAGATGGACATTACCGACTAGAGACCTTTCCTGGTAGTTGTTCGAATTCAGAGTATATGGCCTTGAATCTCTGCCAGAAATCTACTTGTGTTGCTCTGTTCCTGAAGATTTTATAGGTCTACCTGAAACCCCAGTCAAAGCTGTGAGGATGAAATTTATAAGCCTATTAACTTTTAAATGCCCCTTTCTATATTTTTATATTTCAGTCCTATATTTTTCATTGCTATTTAGACAATCTTAGACCCTGTCTAGGTAACACACACTACATTCAGATGGCTTTCTCCAAGGGGCCTCCATTTCTGCAGGCACGTTTATGTTGCTCCCTGCTGTGCCTGAGCTCCAGTCCCTGGGGTTTCTATGCGATGTGGACAGAGAAAGAAATCTTGATATGATCAAAAGGATTTGTGCCTACTTATTTCTTGCCTTTCCAGAGCAAATGTACTAATTTTCAATCAAATATTTATCTGACAGTACAAGTATATAAAAGAAGGAAGTATAAAAAGAAATCTATAACCCTCAAAGAAAAAAATAAATTGGTGATTTTTGACGGACTAAGCAAGAAAGCTGGGCTTCCCATTTTGTGCTGTGCCACCGCACATGACTATGTCATTCGCAACTGGCAGCCACAGGGGCCTACCTCACATTGTCCTTGGCCAGCTGCACTCATCATTTGTCAATTTTCATCATAGTCCTTTGCTTTTAACCTCAAAAATCAATGGCGGGGATCAGTGTCAAGTCCACAGCGGCTTGGTGTTGACAAAGTTCTTTGGCGGACAGCCACCCTCATTTTGGAATGGCATCTAATCTCAGCCAGATCCCGCAGCCCCTCACTGAGCACCCTACTATGTGCCAGGCACGGTCAGGGTGCCAGGAATACAAAACGAATGAAGTACTGACACAGGATACCACACAAACGAACCTCAATAAAATTATGCTAAGTGAGAGAACACAGACACACGGGACCACATGCTGTATGGTTCCATTTATATGAAATGTCCAGAAAAGGCAAATCTATAGAAACAGAAAGCAGACCAGCAGCTGCCTGGGGCTGGCAATGGTACTGAAGAGTGACTGCAAATGGGCACGAGGGGACTTCGTAGAGTGATGGGAACGTTCTAAAACTGGTCTGTGGTGGCGGCTGTACAACTCTAAATTTACTAAAAATTATTGAATTGTACGCTTCAAATCAGTGAATTTTACCAATAGTGACTTTTCACAGTTGACAACTCACTTCTGCTTGTCAATCAACACTTCACGAACTTGTAGGGCAGTCCCTGTCAGCTACTCCATGACAAAACAGCCCCACTGCCCTGGCCTCTACAGTGTGCAATGACTCCACGTCGGCCCTCCGCATCTAGACGGTGCCAGTTATGCCCCACCCACCCTTGGGAGAACTGAGAATAAAAAATCAACACTAAAATTGGATCCCATCAAGTCTAAGGATTTCATTAAAAATAATTTTAGAGGTTCTAACCTCTTGATAATTCTTTAATTATAATTTTACATTTAAAAGGCCAAAGGATGACAATTCCATTTCATGAAGTTTTTAAAAACATTTAAAAAAAATTTTTAATTATAGTTGACTATTTTTCCCCCAAAAAAACTGTTTTTCTAAGTGGAGTGGGAGATATTTAAAAATCTTTATTCTTTTAAACAATATTAAAGAATGATTTCAGTGGGTCACAGATAAATGACTTAGACCAAGATACCACCTAGGTCACGAAGGCACTTTTAAATAGCTCCCAGCTTCCCGTGCTAGCCTGGAGGCCTTCCATGCCCACAACTGCGCCCCGTGCCCCAGCCCCCACTGCTTTCTCCGCATCTGCTCCTCCCGAGCTCCTGGGCCGCCGCGGACCCTTCATTTATAAAACATGCTTAACGTTCGTGATCTGCTGCACTGCATAATAAGGCCTCTGCTCTCCCTAGGTCCGCACGCCCCTCGCCCGAGGGAGAACAGGGTGTAGGCGAGGTCAGCCTGGGGGCGCTGAGGGCGCGCTGTCACCTTGACGGGTCGCCTCCAGCCGCGTCCGCCCCGCTAGGGGCGCGCGCCGAGGAGGGCGCTCCGGGCCCTACAGGACTAGCTGAGATGCACCCGCGGCTCCGTCCTCCTCGGGCCGCGGAAGGAAAGGCCGCCCCCTCCCCGGCGCGTCAGGAATCCCACCACGGCCTCCACCGGCCGGGCGGCGACTTCATCCAACAGCTGACGACGCCCCTAGAAGGGACCGAGAGCCTGCGCCTCTTTTCAGGGTGCCGAGGCCGCGGTCTGGGAACGGTCCACGCCAGGCAGGGAAGGCTCTGCGAGGGCCGGGTCTGGGGTCCGGCCTTTCTCGGCCTCCCCCAGCGGCGCGGGGGGCAGTGCCGGCGCCGGCCCGGAGCCCACGGCGGCCCGCAGCCCGACCTCACCCGAACACGTGCTCCGAGCTCCAGATCCTCATCGCCGCCCGGCACCCGCCGCCGAGCGCGGCTTCCCGGTTCCAGACTCGGAGTAGCCGGCTGCTCGGGTCTCAGCGCCGCGGGGGCGTGGCCTGGGCGGGACGGGGCGCCGCGGGGGCGTGGCCTGGGCGGGACGGGGCGCCGCGGGGGCGTGGCCTGGGCGGGGCGCTCTCGGGAGCCGCCGGCTTGGGTGTCAGGTGACCATGCGAGCTGCAGCTGCTAAAAATAGGAATGCGGGACGCCGCAGGGGCTGACTGGAGAACTGCGCCTCCATGCTTGTTCTGGAAGCATCTTCCAGAGAAACAGAGCAGAATATGCAGAAGCCCAGAAGCATGAGGAGGTACAGTGCTCTTGGGGGGCTGCAAGTCACCTGTGAGGCTGGACTGTGGGGTCCCAGAAAGAGGGGCAGGAGTTGAAGCTAGGAAGTCAGGAGCCACGCTGAGAAGGGCCTTATTCACCGCCCTCTTAGCGCAGCCTCAGGCCCTTCCTGTGTGTACCAGCACATGCATGTGACACCCGCTCTTCAGCCTCATGGCCATCTCCAGCCTCCCCCATTCCACCAGCTCCTCCAGACCTTTCTGCCCCCAACCCCCAACCTCCGCACTGTAGACCACAGTTCACAGAGAACTGACCCTCAGTTCTCTCCCCTCTATGCTGGACAGTCTGCAATCTGCCTCCTCTGGTCCGAGCCCAAGCTCTCTGCGCTACTGGGGAAAGATCACAATCTTACAGATTATCGCACAGGGAATGGCAGGTGTCCTGTTTCATTTAAGCCCTCAATGGAAACCTTACTTGCGCCTGGCTAGGATCCTCCCCCAACCTCCTCACTGACTCCCAACTTCTCCCACTGTCTTCACGCCTCCCTAGGTCAAAGGCTCTGCGGTGTAACGGTGGGTAACCACGTACTAATTGTATGACCCTGAGCAAGTTGCTTCACTTCTCTAAGACCCCGTCTCTGTAGAGTGGTTGAGTTGACCACAAATGGCTGTCAACGCCTAGTATGGTATCAGATACATAGCAAGTGTCCAAAACACAGTAGCTATTGTCCTGATCTAGACCCTGACCAAACTCCCTTCCCACCCTCTAGTCTCAGGCAACCACCCCACTCTTCTCCTTGGTCCCCACTCCACGGGTCTTCCCTTCTATAGTTTCTATTTCCTCCACCCACTGGTCATTTCACCCCACATTCCACCCTTGATTATGCCAATGTCAAGTTTCTCAAAAACAACACAAAAACATCTCCCCCTTGACTCTGCACCTGTATGGGGATCCTTAGAGGAGCCCAAGACCTGAGCTGTTTCACCAATCTACCCATGCTCATCCCAAATGAACTGGGAGGGTGGATTTTTTTTCTTACTTGGGTTTTGCAGAAAACAAAGGAGAAATCACCCACCACTTAAATAGGCAAAGATTTATTCTTTTTAATTAAATGTTTGACAGAACAATGTTCTTATTCCATAGGACTGCTAAGAGAGATGGAAGCCCGCGCACTCTGTGCTGGGCAGGTCCCCCGTGTACCCAGGGCAGTTACCAGGCGCAGCAATGTGCCATGCACTCTTGAGGAGCAGCCAAGACAGACAAGTATGCTCATGGCCAGGTGACACATGGACCTGACTCAGTGACACCCAGCAGTTGCTTTGTTGCTTCAGTTTTATGATTTCTGTTAGAACTGGGAAGATGCCAATCAAAGGGTGACTGGCTATAGGTTAAACCAAGCACAGGATACAGTCATTTCTCCAATAGCTATCAGGCAAAGATGGGATGATAGAGTCTGCCATTGGTTAAACCTCTCACAGGAAGGCAACTCTGGATGGGTTCTTGTCACAGTAGGTGTGGGAACTAAGGAAAGATTTCCAAGGAATGGAGAATTCGGGAGCAAAAGTCATCCCTAACCTTTATCTTTGGCTGAAATGCCTCTTCTGCATGTTGTTGGGTTGAGAACCAGGGTCATTTCTCTCATTTCAGAAGCATTGAGGGAAAGGATGGATTAGGCATGCCATTCTCGAAGTTGATGGTGTTAAATGCCAACCTGTGTGTGTGAAGCATTGGAAAGATATCTTTCAGCTACTACACCCCCTTATAAGCACTGTGCATATTCTCCCTACTTCTCACCTAAAAATTAAAGGGAGAGTCCACATTTGCTCTTCCCACTTTTTTTTTAAATTTTTATTAATTTCAGAGAGGAATGGAGGAAGGGAGGGGAGAGAGAGAGAGAGAGAGAGAGAGAGAGAGAGAGAGAGAGAGAAACATCAATGATGAGAGAGAATCATTGATCGGCTGCCTCCTGCATGCCTCACACTGGGGATCGAACCCGCAACCCAGGCATGTGCCCTTGACCAGAATCGAACCTGGGACCCTTCAGTCCGAAGGACCACTCTCTGTACACTGAGCCAAACCGGTTAGGGCTCTTCCCACTTTTTTACCCCTTATCTGTTCCACAACACGCTGTAATGCACTCCTGAAACTGCTCTCATTAGGGTCATCAGTAAACCATGACATTTTCTAGTCTAATGGGTACTGTCAGTCCTTCTCCTTCTAGACTTCTCTACTACACTTAAACTCCTGAGCATTCTCTCCTTGAAACTCTGCCCCTTGGTTTCAATGACATGCAACCACTCTGTCATATTCCTTCTCTCTCTCTGCTTTGCAGATTCCTCTTCCCCTGTGTTCTGTTTTCTCACTCGACACCTTCTCCCAAGTGAACTGACCAAGTTTCTTGGTTTTTATTAACTCCCAAACCTGTATCTCTATCTTATTTCTGTCCCAAGCTTCAGACCCATATGTCCAGTTACCCATGAAGTAGTCCCTAGGTCCCCACCTCAAACTCATCATGGCCAAAGCATCTTCTTCCTTAAGCAAATTCCTCTTCCAGGATTCACTTTCCAGGTACATGGCATCACCCAGGCACCCCAAGCTAGAGTAATCCCCTACCCTACACCCAGTCGGTCATCAAGTCCTTTGGAATTTACCTCTTACAGATTATTTTAACCCATCCCTTCTTCCACGTCCTTTAAGAAATGATACGATTTAACAGAGTTGGAGGCATAAGTTGGAAGACAAACAAACCTGGGTTCCAGACCTGACTCCCCTTCTGCACATTGCTTACTCTCGGCAAATGTCAGTATTATCATCTATGAAATGGGAATTCTAGTATTAGACACCCTATCGGACTTGTGAGAATGAAATGAGAACATACATGAAGTCCTTAGTATAGTGACTTGTGGGCAGTAACAATAAATGTCAGCCCTTATCATTGTTAGTAGCATTGTTACCATCCCCACTGACCTCTGACTCAGTTCTCCTCCCTTCTGGGTGACTTTAACATGCTCCTATCTAGCAACTCAGAATGGTGCCACTGCCATGCCCCGGCAATTACTGCTTGTCCTATCAGCCTCTTCTGTGTGGAACCTACTTCCAAACCTTTGTTTGCTCACACCCTGGAGTGCTCCTCACTCCTCCTGTAATTGCTCCCACATACCTCCATCATTACTCTCAGCACATTTTTTTATAATTACTGTACTTGTTTGTGTTTCTGTCTCTCCCACTAGAATAATACTTATTAAAGAGGCAGATTCCTAAGCGCCATGTCTTACTTTTGGAATTGACATCTCTGGGATAAAACCCAGAAATAGGCATTTTTAATGAGCCACCCACGCAGTTAGTAAGGTCCCTAAAGTTGGGGAAGCAATTCTGCTCTAGATTATGTAAACTCTTCAAGGATGGGGATTTAGCCTTCCTCATGGCTGTGTACCCAGGATCTATCCCAGTGCCTGGCAAACAGAAGCACTTGATAATTGCTTGTTCAGTGAGTCAAGACTGACTCCTAGGGAGTCATGAACATGGGAGCGGCTGGGTGGGGTTCCATCTGGTGTAACCACAGACAGAATCATCTAGTTGATGGTTCTGGGGAGCCCTATTGCTTTTGGAGGTCATCTTTGGGGTAAATTAAAAGGCTTTTCAACTAGTCCTACTTCTATTTCTTATGTATTTCGTTTCTATGTATTGAGATTCTGTGTCAAATTTTCATTTTTACAAGAGTCTGCTGCTAAAAATAAATATGTTTCAAAATTGCTGTATCAGAATAGATTTTTAATTTAGGGAGAAAGTCAATCTTCCAGCAGGTAAGAAGTTTTGAAGAACTTTTGGATCTGTTTCTTTCCCATTTGCCATGGACATTGCTTCAAAATCCCAGGACAATAACAAAAATTGGGCTCTGGTGTTTAATTGATCCCCAAATAGTGATGGTAAAGACTCAATTTACAGGTTCTTTACCCTGCCACGCTGGAAGAATGAGATGGTAGAAAGTCAGCAATTCTGAGCTTGTGCCACTAGCATCATTTTCTGAGATCCTACGCATAGATTATTTGAATCCAAGGACATGTTCTCTAACTAAACTCAGAATTATCCTGAGCCTCAAAATAGTCAAGATGTACTAGCATATTATTAAAACAGAGTATATCTCTGTGGCCTTTTGCTTTCTATGGTATAAAGTCTATATAATTAATTCCTCTTTCAAACACAATTTCTGAAGTCTCTCCAATACATATTTTCAATTTTGCACCTTATTTCTGCTTCTGAGCACTTTAATTTTCTCCATTATAGCTTATGTAGTTTTTCATCAGAAACATAAGACACCATTTCCTTCCTAGCTTGCAAATCTTCTTTCCCCTGATGCCTTCTGGTATTACAGTAACGTACTCAAAAAATGGCTCATGACTAAGGGGTCTTGCGATAAACAAGAAGATATAATTGAGGAAAATCTCAGAACTTTATGATTTATGTATACTCTGTGGTCAACAATTTAAAAAATATTTGATCACTATCAAGTAGTAATTAGGAATATCCCAAATGTTCTGCTATTGACATTCATAAAACTTGCATTGATGCACCTTGGTGTTGATGTCATAATGCATTCTTTATTCATTATCATCTAGAGGATATTAATCAGACATTGTGATTTTTTAAAAAGTATGTTTTTATTGATTTTTAGAGAGAGAGGAAGGAAGAGGGAAAGAGGTAGAAACATCAATGATAGGCTGCCTCCTGCGCACCCTCTACTGGGGATGGAGCCTGCAAC